GCTCTTTAGTGTTTTTATTTTACGTTTTGTCTATGTATTTTTTTTTTCATAAATGGCACCAAGATTTTGAGTCGTTGCTAGGTGACAGTGTTCTAGCTAATGGCTAGAAATTAGATGCTCTTTAGAGTTAATGTTCTATTTTTTTTTTTTTTTTTTACTTAAATGATACCAAGACTTTGAGTTGTTGCTATGCGATGATGTCTGTGTCACAGCTAAGACAATGCCTTACCTTAGCTATGTGATACTAGCTAAGATTTTGAGTTGTTGCTATGTTATAGGTATTGTCAGTGCTTTAAAAGCCAGTGCTTTAAATACACATTAAGTTATTCACTGCTTAAAACAAAGCTGGGAGGTAGGTACACTTACTGTTTTACAAATAAGAAAAGGAAGACATACAGAGATGGAATAACTTCCCCAATCTTACAAGCTGCTAGGTAGCAAAAGAGGTAATGGCAGTGATTGGTACTAGAACTTCTGTTTTAACCAATGCACTATTTTTCTTTTCTGGATTTTGCTTTTTTTGACCTAATAATGTGTCTTAGAGATCAATCCATGTAAGTACATATAAGGTTCCTTTCACAGCTGTACACCATTGCACTGACTAGATGTAGCATAATTAATTTAACCAGTTTTGCATTGATAGACCTTAAGGTTGTTTCCAATTTGATTTAGAAATAATGTCACATTTGTTAGTCTTGCATGTCATCTCTCATATGTGTGAGAGTATCTATTGGAAATATTTCTGCAAGTGGTATAGCAAGGTCAACAGATAGGTGCTTTTAAGTTTTGATCTATTGAAAAATTGCTCTCTAAAGAGGTTATATCAATTTATACAATTCTAAGAATGAAAATATTGGATATGGTATGGCAAAGTCAGTTTGGCCACAGAAGGAAATGACATTGAGGCTTGGAGGGACGTTTATTATACTCACAGGTTCTAAAGAAGGGGTCATCATGTGTCATGGAGGGCCTCAGAGAAAGCACCAAGTTTTGGTTATGTTATGTAAGACAGACCAGAGGGGAAAGTCTAGGCCAGAGCCTCCATTGGGTTTTCCATGGGAAAGTCAAAGCAGGGCAAAGTTAACTGTTTAGGACTGGCTAATATAATTCAGGCAGGCTTTGGGCTGGCTATAGGGGTGGTCTCTAGTTGCCTGGTATCTGGCCCTGGGATGACTCAGGGCAGGGGAAATACTGGCCTGATGTGTGAATTAGATCAAGTGGGCGGGGTTATAGATTAGGGATTAGTTGGTTTGCATATGAAAGAACACTCTAGGGAGCCCTCAGTTATCTCTAAGGGGCTGGCCCTGGGAGGCGCATCCACTTCCTGGCCAACAAGCTTTTTAAGATGTCAAAGTATCAAAGTATAGGAAATTTAACAATACATATTAATACTAGCAGTGTATGAGATGACCAATTTTCCCATATCTTCAATATTATCAAGTTATTTGACTTTTGCTAATCTGATAGGTGAATGACATCTGTGTAAGAAATATTAAGTGCTTATGATGTTCCAGGCACTGTTTCATATGCTAGGCACCAAACAGTGAACAGAACAAAGCTCTTGCCCTCAGAAGCTTACATTTTTTTGTTGTTGTTTTTTTCGGAGACAGTCTCACTCTGTTGCCCAGGCTTGAGTCAGTGGTATAATCTCAGCTCACTCCAACCTCCACTTCCCGGGTTCAAATGATTTTCCTGCCTCAGCCTCCCAATTAGCTGGGACTACAGGTGCACACCACCACACCTGGCTGATATTTTTTTTTAGTAGAGAAGGGGTTTCACCATATTGGCCAGGCTAGTCTCGAACTCCTGACCTTGTGATCCGCCTGCCTCAGCCTCCCAAAGTGCTTGGATTACAGGTATGAGCCACTGTGCCTGGCCCTGGGAGCTTACATTTCAAGAAATGTGCAGTGCCCATATGGAGGAAACTACATAACTTCAGAAAGACATAATAGAACTGACTAAATGAAAAGACACACGTTGACAGATGGGGAGAATGTCAGAAAGATGGAACTCAGTAAATGTAGCACGAAATTACAAGAAGTTCTTTTGCGGGGAGTAGGGAAGACAACTTGACAAAAAGTTATCTATCATGAATAGATATTTACTATGAACATCTTGAAAAAGTAGTTCAACTATGAATAGAAGGATATGTGCTCTACCAGAAGTTAAAAGACTATAAAAATACAGTAATTAAATCAGTGTGAAAAGAAATCCAGAAACAAGCTCTAGTTTATATACAATGTGCCTAAACATGAGCAAGTATTTTATTTTTGAAACAGTCTCACTCTTGCTGCCCATGCTGGAGTGCAGTGGCATGATCATGACTCACAGGTAGCCTTGATTTCTCGGGACCATATGATTCTCCCATCTCAGCCTCCTGAGTAGCTGGGACCACAGACACATGCCACCATGTCAAACTAATTGTTCGTATTTTTTTTTTTAGTAAAGATGGGGTTTTGCCATATTGTCCAGGCTGGTCTCAAGCAATCTCACTGCCTTGGCCTCCCAAAGTTCTGGGATTGCAGGCATGAGCCACCATTCCCTGTCTTGATTGTATCTTATAGATTTTTAATACATAAATATCTGGTAGGGTTGATTCCCCTAGTTCAGTTCTTAGAATGTATAAAAACTGCATTTAAAAACAAATGAACAAAAAACTTTTGGTTGTTTGGATCATGTTTCTTTGAATATGGTTTCATCCAGAGAGTGGACCTCATAGGTCCAGATGTCATGAGGGTTACCCATATACCCACAGCGTTAACACGAAAAAAATGGAAAATCCCACAGTGGTCATGAAGGGCGGATGAGAGATTACTGAGATTTTTAAAAACTTATTTCTCTTATTATTTGGATTTTTATATTTATTTTCAAAATTACTTTCATGATCTACATACATATATATATATAAAGGTAATAGTAAAAATATCAAATACTTAAAAAAACATCCAAGAAAGTTGAAAGCTGATATGCTCTCTATTCCTCCAAAGCAGACAGAATATTACTATTTTTCATGACTTGACTTACTAAAATATTGCTGTTTGTTATTATCAAGTCTCTTCTGAGCAATCCTTAAAACCAGATTGTTTAAATGTGGGTAAAGTATAGGAGCATTCCATTTACAGTCCATTAATTTTTTCCAACTGAGAAAAGTGAAATCCCAAAATGCACTGCTCAGCTAGATGACGAATGGGCTACCAAGAATTACAAAATATCTCTTCCCAATGAAAGGGAAAGTTTAGCCTTTCACGTTAATAAAATACTCAAAAAGTAAGACTCAAAAAATGCGAAGACAAATCTCCAAATACTATCTCACTAATGCTAAGATGACTCTGACTGGAATTAGAATAAAAACAAAACTTATTCTTTGACAAAGTTTTTAATAAGCTATTATTTTTTACATGTACACTAGTAATCTTAAAAAGACAAGTATTAACTACCAAAAGTTAAATACTATACAGTTTATGAGAAATATAATTTTATGAATTTGAAAAGTAAAAGGTAACTACTAAGTGGATTAAATAAGAAAATTTTACTTTTTAAGAAATTTTAACCAGACAGAAAGTGAGAAATTACTAATTTAAAACTAAAAACTTTTACTAAAGCCAGAGACCTTACATAAACCTTAAAAAAATCTTTTCTAGTACACATAAGGCTGTTAAAAAGAGCGCATGACTGGGGGAAAAAAGGAATATGCTAGAATGTGAACTCCTGTAGAAATATATTTCATTCATCTTTATCCCTGGATTCCTAACACAATGCCTGGTTCAAAGATTTTTTTGAACTTTGCTTAAACAACGTTTGCTGCTTTGAAGTGAACTGGGGCAAATATACATTTCCATCTCTGGCCCAGTTTTCACTCCATATTAAGCACATCCGAAGTACCTGAGCTGCTCCTGGTTGTTGGCCTTTGACCTTAAATTGAGTAAGGTAAGCCAAGATGCATACACTTTTTACATCAGCCTTCTAACATCAGCCTCAGAACCAAATCACCACTGGGCTGTGAATCTTCTCATGTAGTGATACTTATTTGTTGGACAACAGTTAACATCAATGTGCAAAAGTAATGCATTTTTAATGCAGCTGATAAGTATGTTCATATGAATATAAATGCAATAAAGGCCCTGTTTCTCCATGTTTTAAATAACAGATACATAGCATCTTAAATTATGATATAATTAGCAGTTTTTAGACACTGAACATAATACACTGTATTACAATGCAATGTGATAGGCTTCCATTTTAGGAACCAAAATAAATTTCACATGAAAAAAGATTTATTTTAATTCACATAAAATACATTTAGAATAAATCTAAATTTTTGGCATCAAAGTACTTACAAACACACAGAGATAAACTTTAGAGGTATAAATCTCCATTCTGTCCTAAAAGCATATACAAAAAGCTCTCTTGCAGCTATTGATCGTCACCTCGTTGCCTTAAATTTCTAGATTTTCCATTTTCAGTTCTTCTCTTTTTGAAGACTGGGGCCACTCCATCTGCCACAACTCCAAGAGAAGTGACTGTTTTTTCTTTAAATACCACTTTGGGTTCTCCACCACCGTCAGCTTCTGAAGTTGATACATACTCATTTTCAGTGCTTGGAAGTTCCAAATCTACCTCCTCACTGGAATACAGAGTTAATATAAAACCAGTAATTGACAGGGTAAGACAAATGTTTTCATATAACCAATGCCCCAAGATCACCTTTCTAATGCTAATACGTTAGAAGTTGCTCATTTTGGAGTAGGAACTATTTTAAAATACTGACTTTACAATATTATTTAAGATACTGAGCGCTAATTCAGATGGATACATGCCAGGAGAAGTTCTATCTATTAATTTGTTCCTGTTGCACCAAGGATGCATTATCTAAGAAAATGCTTGGGCTTATATATAAGCAATACAAGTAAAGGGATAAGGGGGCTGGGTGCAGTGGCCAACGCTTATAATCCCAGCACTTTGGGAGGCTGAGGCAGGAGGATCACTTGAGCTCAGGAGTTTGAGATGTGCCTAGGCAACATGGTGAAACCCCATTGCTACAAAAAAAATTATCTGGGCATGGTGGCATACGCCTATAGTTCCAGTTACTCAAGCGGCTGAGGTGAGAGGATCACCTCAGCCTGGGAGACAGAGGTTGCAATGAGTCAAGATCTCATTTTCCTTGTGTAGAAGACTGAATGGAGCTGTATGCTTAGCACTCCTTTTCTAAGAACTAGCCCTTCAAGCATCTACATGATTAGTTATACATAATCAGTTGAGTGATCCTGAGATCAGCACCTGATTAAAAAGAGCTTATCACAGTATTGTACTCCCCAGACAGTCAACTGGTCCATGAAAAAGCAAGTTAGTCACAGCACACCCTTCAGTCCCCTCCGTGAGATTTTGGAACATGGACCAGAAAGATGGCTAGGTTTAACTCTAAGTAGCTGAGAGCATAAAACCTGTTGAAAACCAAGTATCATCCTATTTGGAGAATCGTGTTCTGCAGAAGGCAGTTTATTCCAAAGATCTTCTTTTTCTTTTTGACAGGGTCTTGCTGTGTCTCCTAGGCTGGAGTGCAGTGGTGCCATCATAGCTCATAGCAGCCTCCAACTCCTGGGCTCAAGTGAACCTCCTGCCTCAGCCTCCCAAGGTACTGGGATTATAGGCGTGGGCCACTGCACTTGCCTGGCTAGCAAGGACCTTCTTTGCTATTAGTTATCATAGGCTGTTTTAAATTATAAAACTAAATAGAAACACTGAATCCTATAGAAATGTACTTTGCTTAGTAATACTTAAAGAGTTGCTGCAACATTGCTTACCAAGTTTTTACGGAAAAAAAAAAATTTTTTTTTTTTTTTTTTTGAGACAAGGTCCCACTCTGTTGCCCAGGCTGAAATGTAGTGGTGTGAACACGGCTCACTGCACTCTCAACCTCCTGGGCTCAAGTGATCCTCCCCGCTCAGCATCTCTAGTAGCTGGGACCATGGTGTGTGCCACCATTCCCTGCTAAGTTTTGTTGTTTTTGTTTTTGGTAGAGAGGAAGTTTTGCTATTTTTCCCAGGCTGGTCTCAAAATCCTGACCTCAGGTGATCCACCTCACCCAGTCAAGCTATACTGTTAATAAGCACAGCATCCTTGAAATTACTTACTACAATTTATGGAAGTACTGGGATGCAAAATCACTTGTAGTAACAGTGGGATTAAAGTTCCAGGTACTTACTGAGACTCAATCTCTTGTTTAATTTCTTGCCATTCTCCATATGGGTTTGATTTTTTAAGAGTTTTGGGTTTTTCTTCATTTGAACCTAATAAATTCTGTTTCTGAACAGTTTTTTCTTTTTGTGTTTCTGGGTCACTTTCTCCATCACCATTTTTATTTTTTTCCTGAAATGTAAAAGCCAAGAAATAATACAGTTCAACCAAAACTATCAGGAGGAAAATAAAATTTAACTAAGGCTTTTAACAGTATTGTTATAGATTCATTAACAGTAATTCACTAACTCAATTTAAATTTGCACGTAACACAATAAATATACACAGAAGAACTTTAATGCTTGATTATGTTTTCCAAGACATCTGAAATGTTGATATATCATGAAAAGGCTCCCTAAATTATCATATCAGTGTCTTAAATTCTACAATTAAGGACAATAAACAGGGCTCCCTTAACTTCTTTTTGCTTATTTTACTTGCATATCCAACAGTGATTCTCTTTATTATTGCACCTCTCTTCAATTTTTCTGGGAGGTGGCAAGATTATAGGCAGTTTGTCCTTGTTTATGTGTATTTTGTAATTTTATTAATGAACACATTAATTTTTTTCCCTTTCCTACTTTATCATTTAAAAAATAATTTAGGGAGTGCAAGTGCAGATTTCTTACATGTATATACTATGTCATGGTGAAGTCTGGGCTTTTAGTGTACCTATCACCTGTCAGTGAACAAACCCAACAGATAATTTTTCAACTCACCTCCTTCCCACCCTCCCACCTTTTATGGCCTCCACCATCTATTAGTCCATTCTGTATGTCCATATTGCTCACTGTTTAGCTCACACTTGTGAGAACATGTACATGTAGTATTTGACTTTCTATTTCACTTAGGTTAATGGCCTCCAGTTCCATTTACATAGCTGCAAGATATGATTTCACTTTTTATGGCTGAGCAGTATTCCATGGTGTGTACATATACTGCATTTTCTTTATCAAATCCTCCACTGATGGACTCTTAGGTTGATTTCAAGTTTTTGCAATTGTGAACAATACTGCAATAAATGTAAAGTGCAGGTGTCTTTTTTATGTAATGATTTCTTTTCCTTTGGGTAGATATTCAGAAGTGGGACTGCTGGATTGAATAACAGTTCTGCTTTTAGTTATTTGAGAAAAATTCTCTACAAAGTTTATACTAATATACATTCCCAGTAACAGTGTATAAGTGTTTCCTTTTCTCTGCATCCTTGCCAATATCTGTTGTTTTCTGACTTTTTTTTTTTTTTGAGATGGAGTCTCACTTTGTCACCCAGGCTGAAGTGCAGCAGCATGATCTCGGCTCACTACAATCTCTGCCTCACAGGTTCTAGCGATTCTCCTGCCTCAGCCCCCCAAGTAGCTGGGACTACAGGCACGTGCCACCACGCCCAGCTAATTTTTGCTTTTTTAGTAGAGATAGGGTTTCACCACATTGGCCAGGCTGGTCTCAAACTCCTGATCTCAGGTGATCTGCCCACCTTGGCCTCCTGAAGTGCTGGAATTACAGGCTTGAGCCACTGTGCTTGGCCCCATATATGGCTTTTATTATTTTATTAATATGAGGTATCTTCCTTCTGTGCCTAGTTTGCTGAAGGTATTTATCATGAAAGGATGCTGGATTTTATCAGATGCTTTTTATCTATTGAGCTGATCATATGGTTGTTTTTAATTCTGTTCATGTGGTTAATCACATTTATTGATTTGTATATTTTGAACAATCCTTGCATCCCTGGAATAAAGCATCCGTTGATCATAGTGTTTTAATCTTTCTGATGTACTGCTGGATTCAGTTTGCCAGTATTTTGTTGTAGATTTTTGCAGGGATACTGGCCTGTAGTTTTCTTTTTTTTGTTGGAACACATTCATTTTGATAGAATAAATTAATTATTTCTATCCAAAATTGGATACTGGATTACCTAAATCTGGCTGGCTATAATCGCTGTGAAATGGCAACTACAATGAAGGTTTTGCTGCTGCTTCTCTGTAAACTGGACATATCTCTTACTCAAAAGTTCCATCAAGATTTATGAAGTTGGCAGAGAAACTGCAGGCAATGAAAAGATCCCAAGTGTACCCTAGCTATGTAGGAAATCTTTGATTTTCCTTCATTTCTCAGGCCAACAACCTCAACCACTGCTCAATCCTATACTGTGTCTTCTCTGCTTTGACTCATGGGCTCCTGAGTGTTCCTGATTTTATTTATCCAGTTGCCAAAATATGTCTTAATATCTATCTTCTATCAGAAGAATTAAGGTCTGTAGAGCTTTTCACAAGTTGGTATCAGCCGGGCATGGTGGCTCATGCCTGTAATCCCAACACTCTGGGAGGCTGAGGCAGGTGGATCACAAGGTCAGGAAATTAAGACCATCCTGGCTAACATGGTGGAACCCTGTCTCTACTAAAAATACAAAAAGTTAGCTAGGCATGGTGAATTGCTTGAACTAGGAAAGTAGAAATTGCAGTGAGCTGAGATCACGCCACTGCACACCAGCCTGTGCGACAGAGCAAGACTCTATTTAAAAAATAAACTGATGTGAAGATAAATTTTAAAAACCTACCTTAAACTTTATTTTTGGCTTTTTTGTCTCTGTAGAGACCTCTCCTTCTGCTTCCTGTTCCCCATCGGAATCACTATGCGACTCTGATGATTTGGATTCATCTAGGGTGCCAAGGGACTTTTCATTGACCTTAGTAGAAGGCAGATCACTAGTGTGTGGAATGAAATCATCAGGTTTCTCCCACCTCGATTCTGCTCAACACATTTTAAATCAGGTTATTTAGTTATCAATTCTATTCAGATGTAATTTCAATGTAACACTTCTTATCACTTACAATTATTAAATGACAATACTGTATGTATTTCATACTACCTCTTGGATCAAGAAGATAATAAAGAAGAGTTCCCAAATCTCTTGCTCTTATATCTTTCAGAAACTGATTTCAAACAGATTGGATTACCTAGATGTATAAACTGTAACTCCAATGGAATGAGAGACCTAAGAACTAGGTGATATTTCTAACAGTTCACAATTTACCTGACACCAATTTCAGGAAACATATTGATAATAAGCATACAAGAGATTTCCTGAAACTTACTTATCACAAAGATTTCCTGGCCCGGCACGGTGGCTCATGCCTAATCCCAACACTCTGAAAGGCCAAGGTAGGAGGATTGTTTGAACCCAGGAGTTTGAGACCAGCTTGGGCAACATAGCAAGACCCTTTCTCCACAAAAAATTTAAAAATTAGTGGGCATCATGGCTTGCTCCTATAGTCCCAGCTACTCAGGAGGCTGAAGTGGGAAGACTGCTTGGGCCCAGGAAATACGGGCTATAATGAATCACGTTCATGCCACTGCACTCCAGTCTGGGTGACAGAGCAAGACCCTGTTCGTTATTAAAAAAAAAAAAAAAATCCTAAGACTGTCATAGAGTGAAATTATATTGTGAAGCACTAAGTGAATATTAAGTTCTCATTTTTATATGGTGGTTTGGTGGACAGGGCGGGGAATGAGAAACTTAATTGATTGAACTTTACTGCCATCCAGTGGTTCATTTGGCTTTAGTAAAACAATAATATTTCTAATTACTTTGTGGTTAATTCTCTATTTTTAGTTTAATAAAAAAGAGTGAACAATTGTTCAACTGGGAGAGTATTAAGAGTGAAAGGGGCTGCTATTAATAATTATTCTGGTTGAGGAATAAACCAAAATCATTCAAGACAAATCAATATAGAAAGCACCTTAATTAATACAGAGTTCTAGGCAGGGTTAAGAAAAATATTAATTTTCCTTATCCACATTTGACACAAGGAACAACAGAACTTTAAAGAAATTATTTTATTTATTTATTTGGCGTAATCTCAACTCACTGCAACCTCCCCCTGCTGGGTTCGAGTGAGTTTTCCTGCCTCAGCCTCCCAGTTGCACCACCATGCCCACCTAATTTTTGTATTTTTAGTAGAGACAGGGTTTCACCATGTTGCCCAGGCCCATCATGAGTTCCTAACCTCAAGTGATCCACCCCCCACTAACTTCCCAAAGTGCTGGGACTACAGGCGTCAGTCACTGCACCCAGCTCAAGAAATAATTTATTAAGCACCTACCATGTGCCAAGCACTGTTACTGGAACTTCATAGATATATGGCATTCATGACCTTACAGAACACATGTTTATTCTATTTCACTGAAGAGTGACTATCAGCTCAGTGACTTGCCCACAGTCATATCATTGGTAAAGAAAGAAGCTGTGCACTAGGCTCAGACCTGTCCAGCTCTAAAGCTATATTATATCACTATACTATTTCACATGTACAAAATTCCAAACTTTAACTGTGCTGGAATATAAACCTTGCTGTAACTGGGCAGGCTAGGTATCTACTTGGAGGTTAAAAGGGACTTTTCTTTCTAAAAGTTTAATGCTATGCAATGAGCTAATGATAACAAGAATTAAAAAACCAAAAACAAACCTCTCCTAAAGTTAAATTAATGTTTTAGATGTTCTGATAAATTTAACTGCAGTTTATGACGTTAAATTAGATGAAATATTAATTTGAAAGTCTTAGGTAACAATTAGACAAGATTATGCATGCTTCACAAATATTTATGCAACTAAAACGTCATTTTCACTTTTAATAATTTGTTACCTACTGCTAAAAAGCTTCAGCTTTATTATTTTGAGATGGAGTTTCCCTCTTGTTGCCCAGGCTGGAGTGCAATAGCACAATCTGAGCACGCTGCAACCTCTGCCTCCCGAGCACAAGGAATTCTCCTGTCTCAGACTCCCAAGTAGCTCGGATTACAGGCACACGCCACCAGACCTGGCTAATTTCTATTTAGTAGAGATGGGGTTTCACTGTTTTAGTCAGGCTGGTCACAAACTCCTGACTGACCTCAGGTGATCCGCCTGTCTTGGGCTCTCAAAGTGCTGGGATTAATGGTGTATGCCACTGCACCCAGCCACAGTTTTATTTTTTAAAAGGAAAAGGCAAGTTGAACTAGATGATCTCTAAGCTACCTTCCAAGGTAATGATTATATTTCTAAAATAATTATGATAAAAACAGTAATGTCAGAGAAAGCTAAAGGGATTCTATTTTTAAGTTTATGAATGCGATATCAACTGAGAACACTGGTGAACAGCACAATATAATACGAATTGAAATCTTTTTGCTTTTCCACTGTATTGTTTTTAAATTATAAAAAATAATTCATGCTTGTTATACAAGTATGTTTATCACATACTAAAATCTTCAAGTTCAGATGATTTATCAGCAGGCCAATAAACAGCTTCAGGTACAATTTTAAAGTTAATAAAAGGTAATACTTACCTCCTGTTTCTGTATTATAATAATAGGTAAAACCATCTTCACTTAAACCTTCTACCCAAACTGTCTTCACTGCTGCCTAATAGGAGGAAAAAATCCAGCATAAACTGAGGATAACCATGATGATCTTCTATTGAATAACTCAGGCAGAGTCAGCCACCCTTTCCTCTCCTCTAGACACCTGGTGACATGATCTCGATCTGCATCCCCACCCAAATCTCACGTAGAATCGTAATCCCCCATCTTGGAGATGGGGCCTGGTGGGAGGTGCCTGGATCATAGGGGCGGTTTCTCATGGTTTTAACACCATCCACCCTTGGTGCTATTGTCGAAATAGTGAGCAAGTTCCCCTGAGATCTGGTCATTGAAAAGTATGTGGCACTTCCCTGCTAACCCCTTGTTCCTGGTCTGGCCATGTAAGATGTGACTGTTTTCCCCTGGCTTCTGCCATGATTTTAAGTTTCCTGAAGCCTCCTCAGAAGTTGATGCCACCATGCTTCCTGTATAGCCTGCATAACTGTGAGTCAATTAAACCTCTTTTATCAATTACCTAGTTTCAGAAGTATTTCTTTATAGCAATGCAAGAACTGACTAATACACCTGGGTATTAGGGGTGGTAGTACTAATCATGACCAGGAAGTTTGTTTTTTGCTAATCCTGAGCCAATTTTCAAGGAAAGAATGCCTCACCTTTGAAGGCCAGGAACAATTATTTCCAAATGGACCAGGGACATGTGAATGGCAACAGACTGCAAACCAACTAATATTTGCCCTGAATACAGTTTTTGGATAGGTATCACTCTTTCTTTCTTTTTTGAGATGGAGTCTTACTCTGTCATCCAGGCTGGAGTACAATGGCATGATCTCGGCTCACTGCAACCTCTGCTGCCTGGGTTCAAGTGATTTTCCTGCTTCAGCCTCCCAAGTAGCTGGGATTACAGGCACCTGCCACCACACCTGGCTAATTTTTCTCTAGTTTTTAATACAGATGGGGTTTTACCATCTTGGCCAGGTTGGTCTTGAACTACTGACCTCATGATCCGCCTGCCTCGGCCTCCCAAAGTGCTGGGATTACAGGTGTGAGCCATTGCGCCCGGCCAGATATCACTATTTCATCTCTACCCACCTTTCTAACAAAAGCATTATAGGAGAAAAAGGACACAGTTTGTGGGTGGAAGGAGGGGGGTATTTGTAAGTAAAGTTGCTTAACAAAACTCTACAAAAACCCAAGAAAGCAATCACTTTAAAGAATAAAGCAAAAACACTATTAACGTGCTTCAGTTACCTTTTTTAAGTTTCCTTGAAATCCTTCAGGTTTCTCCCACTGAGATGCTTAAAGCAAAATATATTACATTTATAAAATCTTTTTGCTTTAAAAAAATACTTTCCGAAAAATTAAAGTTGGACAAAATTTAAAAGACAGTCATTATGTATAAAACACTACAAGCCTACAGTTTAAAACATATTTGAAAAATTAAAAAAAAAAAAACATACATCCCAATACTGTGCAGAGAATATATGTGAATGCTGTGTAATAAAGAAGAAAGGACAGAATGAGGGATCAAAAGTTACTGGAACTTCCACAGGAATTTTAGAGCCAGGCAGGGCTACTCTTAAAGGTTTCATAAAATTCAGGTTTGATAAGTTTCAAAGGAAGGAGATGGGCTTTGATATCTTGGGGCAAAGGAGATTGAAACATGAATTGAATAAGGACTCAAGAGGAACAACTAGTATGCAGAAATTTAAACCAAGTATCATGGAGAGGAAGAGTATATATAAAAGGAAGTTGAACAAAGGAAGCAAGCAATAAACACTGGAAGGGAGAAAAATAGTTTCTAAGTAAATTTGAGAAAGACTTCTAATTACCAGTACATAATCACTTATGGTATCTTCATTGCTTAAGTACAATATACGTGTCACTTAAAGCTCAGTACTAACTCTAAGAGATTACTATTTCTACACAGTCCAAAGCTAATTATGAACCTAATCATAATAGTCATTACAATAACATTGTAACCCAAGGTTTTCTTCATGATTAACTCTCTGATCTTATTTCCTGCCTTCCTAGCCATTATTAACCTTCTTTTGCGGGGTTTCCTTCTATCCATTCCTTTAATACATGTATCACTTACCTTCTTTAATTCTAGCTCTATTCTCTCTGCTTGTGATATCATATACTCCTAAAGGTTATCATATTATCTACATCCCAGACTCAATTTTGTTCAGCTCCAGACTGTAACCATCAATTAGCTATCAAAAATTGTCACATGAATATTCTGTAGATACCTCAAATTCAACATATCCAACATATCTAATTCATTATTGTCCCCATTAAACTTATTTTTCCTGTATTTCATATCTAAGTCAATGGCACCATCATTCTCCCAGTCCTATCTACCTTTCAGTATTACTCTGCTAAGACATCTTCAAAGAAGTGCATATTTTACTTCCACCACGTGACTATTTCACAATACTTTCAAACCTTTTTCTGGTTCATATTTTCTGTCTAGGTTCTGTACCTCTTAATAATCTACTGCAGTCTTTTTTAATCAAAACATGGATTAAAGAAGTCTGCACCATGCTAGGCACTATGTTAGGTGCCAGGGATACCATAGTGTGTAAGGCATCATTCCTGATGTCCTTATCTTAATTTAGAGATCAGCTCAAAAGTAATTCCTGTGATAATCTCTCAAAGCTACATAATCACAATGAATTTCACTTATTTTGCGTTCCCATATAATCTTAATTACACTTCTATTATAGCACTTTAAAATTCTTCCTTATATCAAGCTTATTTATTTCTGTTGCTAAATTTTATGACTCTGGAGAGTAAGATGCTACATAAATGTAGAATAAATGCGCTGATTTATTCTAAAATGTATATGGAGTAAAAAACCCAAATACATTTAGTTTTTAGGAAAAACAAAAGATGTTTTTGATATTGTTACTGTAAAACAACACCGTGTATTTTTCTTTTTCCTTGAGATGGACTTTTGCCCATTGCCCAGGCAGGAGTGCAATGGCGTGATGTTGGCTCACTGCAACCTCCACTCCTGGCTTCAATCGGTTCTCCTGCCTCAGTCTCCCAAGTAGCTGGAATTACAGGTGTGTGCCACCACTCCTGGCTAATTTTGTATTTTTAGTACAGATGCAGTTTCACCATGTTGGTCAGGCTGGTCTCGACCTCAAGTGATCCTCCCGCCTTGGCCTCCCAAAGTGCTGGGATTACAGGCATGAGCCACTGTCTGGCCATGGCACTGAGTATTTTTCTGTTGGATATTAGTTTCCAATAAAATACACAATGCCATTTTTCAGTAAACAATATCAAATCAATCAAGACGGCTACAGAAAAAAGAAATCAGTTACTGGCTCCCAGAAGAAAATCTCTACCGTAAAATATTTTATTTCAAGTACCCCAGACTTTGTTTAGTGGATTTGAAATTCCTTATTTCTATGCAAAATTCTTTATTTCCATGTAGTTCATACTTTTATAAGATTCTATTGAGAAAATATAAAGCTATAATTTATTTGTAAGAAAGCCATTATTAAAGGCTCTAAGTCTTCACACTTAGTCACTATGAGAAGGGTACCTCTGTAAAGGGCACATAGTTTTCTTACTTTTGTGGCAAAAATGAAAAACTGGTCTTTTATTATTTAAAATGTTCCAATATCATATAAAAACCCTAACATTAAACAAATTGTTCTATTCTACTAGTGGCACTGTTCTTTACCAATCTTATGCCTAAATGACTTACCTCCTGAGATAAGATCATAATAGTAATGGTAACCCTCAGAGGTTATGCCTTCTACCCATCTGCCCTTTGAAGGATCTTTTTTTCTTTTCTTCTTTTCTTTCTTTTCTTTCTGTTGATTTGATATAGAGGTGGCTGGGACAGTGCTGGTTACTGGTGTCATGCTTGGCTCTGAAATTTCTAGAGAAGAGAGAAGGGTAAAGCAGCCGTAGTATCTTTATTATTTTTTTGTTGCTGGCATAAAACATTAATGTTATTCCAATCAAAAACCTGAAAAGATTCATTTGAGAACCTGACACACTACTATAAAGTATGTGGAAAACCAAACATGCAAGGATAGGAAAACTATAATAAAAAGAATAAGGAGAATTTAGTTCTACCAGGTATTAAAACTTATTCTAAAATATGGTTAAAAAAAAATCCAGCAGTGTGAAACTGACATAGAAATAGGCAAACATATGATTGAAACAGAATAGTACAGATATAGACCCAACTGGTTGGCTGGTATTTCGATTCAGAGGAGAAAAGATAATCATTTAAAAAAAGAGGTTTTCAAATTATCTATTGGGTATAATGTTCACTATTCAGGCGATGGGTATACTTAAAGTCCAGATTGCATCACTATGCAATATATGCATATAAGAAATCTGCACTTGTACTCCCTAAATCTATAAAAATAAAAAACATATTAAAAAATGGAAATAAAGCATGTTTAAAAAGAAAGATTTTAGAATAACTGGTTAATTATATGGGAAAAAAGTGAAGCTGCTGCCTACTCCCTGCTCCCTTTCCTGTTTTTTATACCACTACAAAAACCATGTCAAAGATAGTTATGAAAAAAAACACAAAGTAAAATAATGTTAAATCTGACTACATAAAAATTAAAATATTCTGTATGATAAAATAAAAAGAAAAAATATGACAAATGAAAAAACATTTACAATAAATATGGCAAAGGGCTAATATTCCAAACAAAGATCCTTTACGAATCAAACATTCTAATAGAAAAAACAGACAAAAATTACAAAAGGAATTCAGAGAATTAACATTTACTTTTTTTTTTCTTATCTTGTCCACGCTGGAATACAGTAGTGTAATGGCCCACAGTAGGAGCCTTGAACTCTTCAGCTCAAGCAATCCTCCCACCTTAAACTCCCAAGTAGCAGCCAGGCACGGCGGCTCACTCCTGTAATCCCAGCACTTTGGGAGGCTGAGGTGGGCAGATCATAAGGTCAGGGTTTCAAGACCAGCCTGACCAACATGGTAAAACCCAGTCACTACTTAAAAATACAAAAATTAGCCAGGCATGGTGACACGCACCTGTAATCCCAGCTACCTGGGAGGCTGAGGCAGGAGAATTGCTTTAACCCAGGAGGTGGAGGTTGCAGTTAGCCGAGAGCACACCATTGCACTCCAGCCTGGGAGACAGAGTAAGACTCTGTCTCAAAATAAAATAAAATAAAGTAAAATAAAGTCCCAAGTAGCTGGGACTACACGTATGCACCATCATGCCCAGTTAATTTTTTATTTTTATTTTGTAGTAGAAGTCGGGTCTCACCATGTTGCCCAGGTTGGTCTTGAACTCCTGGGCTCAAGCTATCCTCCCACTCTGACCTCCCAAACTGCTGGGATTATAGGCATAAGCCACAACACCTAACCAATTAACATTTACTTTTGCTAATATTCAAAGAAAAGTTTTTCGTTTTGTTTTGCAAAAGATCAGTAAGTACTGAAGAGAATGACCAAATCCAGTATTAGTCTGATAAATCAGGTATTTACAATGATTTGAAAAAAATGGGTTGTTTTGATGAGGAGTGGCTCACGGTTGTAATCTCAGCACTTTCGGAGGCCCAGGCAGGTGGATTGTTTGAGCCCAGGAGTTCCAGACCAGCCTGGGCAACATGGTGAGACCCTGTTTCTACCAAAAAATAGCTGGGACTTGTGGTGAGCTGAGGTGGGAAGACCACTGGAGCCCAGGAAGTTGAGGCTACAGTGAGCCATGATTGTCCCACTGCACTCCAGCCAGGTGACAGAGTGAGACCTGTCTCAAAAAAAAAAAAAAAAAAAAAGAAAAAAAATCAGTTTTTATGGCTTTACTTCCCAATGGATTGGGTAATTACTTGTAACACAGGTTAATAATCTCATTTTTGTTCTAGTGAAAATGTGAATCAGTCCATTTCTGGAGACAATGTGCTATTAGCTACTGATATAAAATATATTCACACTGATACTATGACTTCTAGAAACTGAACCTACAGAGACAAATTAGTGTAAAAAGATACATGCATAAAGATGCTTAATGCTACCCTCTTTATCACACTGAAAAATTCTAAGCAAGCCAAATGTTAACCAGGAAAAAATTAAATAAATTATAGTATACAGACAAAATAACAGTGGCTACTGTTCATTAAACATTTGTTATGTGTAGTCACTTAAACAATTTATACCATAATGTTACTTAGTTTTAATCTAAAATCATAACTAGCAAGAAAAAAATTCTCTTTGACTCCAAAGTCTGTGTTCTTAACTACCACATAAAAATGATGTATCTCCCTAATTATTTAAAAGATACTTTTGACATATCATTGAGGGAAAAAATAAAACAACCTGCAAATAGACCACAGCACAAAATATGTAATTTAAAAAGAGATCTAGAAAAGAGGTCTGCAAAAAATCTTAACAGTGAGTTTTTAAAAACTCTTTTCTTTGTACTGCATTGTTGTACTTTTAAAGGAATATATATCCTATCTGGAAAAACAAGGCTATGATAATATGTAATAGGAAAGGCTGGGCGTGGTGGCTCACATCTATAATCTCAGCACTTTGGGAGGCTGAGGCAGGCAGATCACAAGATCACTAGGTCAGGAGAGGGAGACCATCCTGGCCAACATGGTGAAACCCTGTCTCTACTAAAACATAAAAAACTAGCCAGCTGTGGTGGCATGCACCTGTAGTCCCAGTAATCCCAGCATTTTGGGAGGCCAAGGTAGACAGATCATGAGATCGAGATCATCCTGGCTAACACGATGAAACCCTGTTATCTACCAAAAACACCAAAATTAGCTGGGCATGGTGGCGGGTGCCTGTAGTCCCAACTACTCTGGAGGCTGAGGCAGAAGAATCACTTTAACCCAGAGGCAGAGGCTGCAGTGAGCCGAGATCATGCCACTACATTCCAGCCTGAGCAACACAGTGAGACTCCAGCTCAAAAAATATATATATACACATACATATATGCATATGTACACATATACATATTTTTAAATAGGAAAAATCCATTTAAATATAAAATAGTAAAATTTGTTTACTCAAAGCGCAGCATAGTGGACTCTCTCAATGCATGTAATTGACAATAGCTGAACTTTTACCTACTGCTAATTCTCCAGGAATGTATAAATCCTTTTTCCTCTCAAAAGGAACATATGGCTTCATCTTCAAAGAACCAAACAACTTTTAACTACCGATGTCTCAGGATAATATTTTAAAGTCTGGCTACAAATGTTCTTATTTAATGAAGACAATGCCAATGAACTTAACTGGTAATCTAGACCAATTAATACCTTAATTGAAAGCCATTTTTATTAGAAAAATACCATTACAGGTTGACCATTGCAACCACTACGCAAGATGAACTGAGATCTGCTATATGATTGGCTTAAGGAAAATGAATTTGATACAGAAGAATTACTCATAAAACCTTCCCAATTTAAAGTCTAAATTCAATGACAAGATAGATACTCTAGCTAAATAATGTCTTTCATCTACAACTTCCTTCTAGTAGTAAAATCTGCTAATTGTCCACAAAAGGTGAATTCACTACATATTTACCTATATAAATATACAAGACTCACAAGTTTGACCATATGGACACAGTGAACTGTAATTATAACGAAAGATCTATTTTTAAATGCACAGTGTCTTTTAGCCAAATAACCCGAATACCTAAAAAACTCAGTGTCTCTGAAATGAACCACTTACCTAGGATAAAACTAGGATTAGGTGTTCACAAAATTAGTATGGCTGCTATGAATGAAGGTGTTAAAACATGAAACATTAAAAGTACAACAGAAGTGCATGAGCAAACTTCCATAGTCTAAATAGGACTATGTATGATGCATAATAAAAACACTAAGAGTATACTCTGAGTTTATAAACTCTTTATGGAAACAATCAAAGCTTACTTAGCATGACCTCTAATGTTACTTTTAAAACACGCTGGCTGCTTTTTTTTTTTTTTTTTTTTTTTTTTTTTTTTTACCTGACTCTAAGCCAAGCCTTTTCAAATCCTCTTGGTATGCTTTCAGGGCAGCTGCCTCCATTGCAGCAAACTCCTTTGATGCCTTTTCTTCTTCCTTTGCCTTATCCAGGCTTTTCTGTTTAATCTATGTAAGACATACATAACAGTAAAAGTGAGATAAAGAACTGACATTTGCATAGGAAAATTAACAAAGAAACAATCTAAATTACCTCACTGATCCTTTTTGCCACATTTTCCTTATGATTCTTTCCTCTTTCATGAAATTCAACACTCTTGGAAAGAAAACACAAAAGAAAACTACATAAACATAAAATTCATAAACATCATAAACAATTCTCTCATAAACATGAAAAAATTAAAATTAAAATGAATGGCAGAAAAGATGAAAATGTTAATTTAATGTAAATTGGCCTTTTAATCAAATGATGCCAGGGAACTACATTGTTTATTTTTATGTCCTCTGACTATGTTTCCTTTGGTTCTTAAAATAAACCATGATGACCTTATTAATGGAGAAAAATACAAGGTACCCCGATGACTAATCTAGTGACTATGATTGTAATGAGGACTCAAACAGGACATGAAGCTAAAAGGCTTGGGAAAAAAATCTTAAACAACTTTCAACATTAAAAGCCTTTAGAATTTTATAACCCTATTTGCCACAAGGAAGAACATAGAGAACAATGATTTTATTGCTTTATTCCTCAAAATTGGGAGAAAAGTACATATTTTAAGATTTCTCATAAATCATAAGCAAACACTTTTATACAATATGGTAATGGTTCAAAATGTAGTTATATGGAGAACAATTTGGCAATATCTATTAAAGCTAGAAATATGTTTACCCTTTGACATAGCAGTCTCATTTCTGGTAATTTATTCTACAGATATAACTACACATGTGCAAAACAATGATATATACACGCTTACTGAATACAAGACTGTTTGCCTTAACAATACGGTATCCATCTATAGGGGACTGACTGGTTAAACTATGGTACATTCTCATAGGCTACTGCAATAGAGAAAAAGCAGCTCTTTATGTATGGATACAAAGAGAGCTCCAGTTACATACTGCTTTATTTTTTAAAACTATAGTGCAGCCGGGCGCGGTGGCTCAAGCCTGTAATCCCAGCACTTTGGGAGGCCGAGGCGGGTGGATCACGAGGTCAAGAGATCGAGACCATCCCGGTCAACATGGTGAAACCCCGTCTCTACTAAAAATACAAAAATTAGCTGGGCATGGTGGCGCACGCCTGTAGTCCCAGCTACTCAGGAGGCTGAGGCAGGAGAATTGCCTGAACCCAGGAGGCGGAGGTTGCGGTGAGCCGAGATCGCGCCATTGCACTCCAGCCTGGGTAACAAGAGCGAAACTCCGTCTCAAAAAAAAAAAAAAAACCAACTATAGGGCAAAAAAATATTATACAGTATATTACCTTTTATGTATGCTGGAAAAAAAAAATGGGGCCAAAAGCAAATAAAAAAAAAAGGAAGGAAAAAAAGGGAAAAAAAAAAAAAAAAAAAAAAAAGATCACCTATGGAGAGTGATGGCAACTGGATGACTGGGGATGGTGCAGGTAAGCCCAATTATCTATTTAAACAATCAGAAATGCTCCCTAAATGACAAGTTTCTGGTTAAACGCAATAAGAAATTCCTGGTAAGCTCTGTAAAATAAGTTCTGTCAATCAAATATCATATAATGCATTACCTGAGCTCTTCTAAAATACTGCTGTGAATACATCTTTAAAGTATGACTTTGTAAAGCAGATAATCATCCTCTATTTTTCATATATTGAGTTTCCTAAAGTTGATTACACAAAGAATATTAAAGGACCATTCAAAATTAATTTTGTTTCTAATTAAAGGTTAAGTCAATGTGTATTAGTGGTTCAAGAAGATGAAGACACTAAACTGGAAGGGATTACTTACTCTGGATAACTCACAAAATTCATTTTACCGCCTGGATACCAACAAGAAAGAGAGACTTTACATGATCTGTGTGGTTTTTAAAATTCATGGTATTTATTCATAAGTAAATAGGTAAAACAAGACAGTCAAGAACTTTAGCAACTATCCAAATTTAAAAAAAAATCCAAATCCCAAACGCCTTACAGATAACAGTAAATAAATGTCTACAGAAATCCACAGCATTGTTAAAACATAAGATTACTATTCTTTGTGCATCCAACTCTGCCAAATAAAAAGAATATCAATATGAAATATATTTAACAGATACCCTAGTGTTTGAGTGGTATGTACATAGTATTTTGACATGCAAGAGAGGGGAGAAAAATCAGTGGTGTGCTTTTTACTTTAAACCTTCAACACTGGATCTCAACTATGAGATAGCCTAGTATCACACATAACAGAGTTGTTACTTTCTGTTTCATGAGAAAGGGAATATGGTGTTCTTTCAAAATTTAAGCTCTGCACTAAATACATTTGATTATTTCTAGAGCAGAAAATATGCAAGAAAAACTAGGGCTTTCCACAATTCTTTGTGTATGACAGTATTATGAACACCACCATTATAATGTAGATTCTTCATAAACATGAATGAGATGACCTACTCACTCGCCATTTCCCGAAAAGCCACAGAAAAATAATTTCACTTAATATGTAATCAAAGTTAGCGTGATGAAAAGGAAGAAGGCTCACGGCTTTCATAAGGGACTGAGAAGGCAGAAATCTTTTGATGTTTTGAAAAAGCAAAAGCAATGTACAAAAAGTGCTTTGTAAAGTGAGTTTACATCAAAAAAGACACTTCATTCAACACAATTATTATTCGAATCTCTAATAGCAGAATTATCATACAGGCCTATTGTCTGCTATCCAGCACTTGCAGTAATCACAGAATTTCTTTGGCTGTGACTTCCAGTAGTCCGCCCTGAAAATGGAGAAAACAAGTCTAAGTTCATGTAAAACTTAAAAAGTAAAATTCTGCATGCTTTACATTTTTTTAAAGCTTGAAATATATGTGCCTGCTACTGAATCTTGTCTTGTTACATAATTGTTTTATTATTTACCTGGTTGGAACAGTCAATGGAAATTCTGTTGCCAGCAGCGTTAAGAAAAGTCTGTATCTGATTCATTACAAAACTCCCTTAAGTAAGATGGCTTTCAAAAATTCCTCACTTGTTACGGTCATCGTTATGAAAAACTAAGGAACATATTACAGAACATTTATCTTTTCTGTTCGTTTCTGGCTTTGGGGGAGGTTGCTGTAATGGAAACCTGAGGAAAACTCAAAGTTTGCCTTAAACCAAGTTATTCCCACCAAAAGAACAACGTACAAGAATACTCTGCGGGAAGACCGTAGGTCCTCCGAGACTATCGGTTAAAACAAATTGTTCTTGAGCCTCAAGGCAAGAGAGAATTGGAAAAGCCACGGGACCTCGCAGACCGCCGACCAAAAAAAAAAAAAATCGTTACGCTATCCAGGGCTGGCCGCTTCCACTAGGCGCGGGAGGCCGCGGCCCAACCCTAGTTTCACAATACTCTAGGGTTCAGACGCTTCGGAACCCAAAGGGGCGCGTGCGACCGCCGACAGCATCGTGCCGGGAGCTTCGCCCGCGGCCGTCCAACCAGCCCCCTGAACCGGCCGCCGGCCTCCCCCGGAGCCCGTCCCCCATGCCCTAGGGCGCTCGGCAGGATAACATTTGTACCCGACCCAGAGAACCGGCACTGCAGGTCCCGGGCCGGTCCCGAGCGAGTTAAGAACGCGTGCGTCACGCCCCCGGCCGAAGGGCGGGAGGAGAGGAGGAGGGGAAGACCCGGGTGAGAAAGGGCCGCCTACAAAAACAACACCTCGTTGTTCAGGGCCTGAGACCCAACTCACATGACTGCGCCAGCCGCTCTGCACGTCGTCCGGGGTTCCACTCAGACTCGCGCTCTCCCAACGGGACAAGTCAGGCTCCACCAGTCGCGCGAGGCCCACCCGAACCTCCCTCCGACCCGGACACCTTCCACCGCCCCCGAGATCAGCGTTCCGCTGCTCCCAACTACGGGTGCTCAGGCGACCCAATCCGCGTTCGAAATCTCCTCCTCTCCCCTCCCCCTACAAGGGAGGTACTGCAGGCTCCAAAGAGGTGGGGTCGGTATAAAGGGGTTGAGGTCATCGGGAAGGGGCAAAAGCGCGACGGGACCTGAGCTGAAGGACAGGGTCTCAAGCCTTAAGTCGCCGCGCCATCCCGCTGTGTCTGTGTCGTCCCCTGGGACCCAGAACCTCCACCCTCCGTCTAGGGTCGCTGGCTCGAGGCCAGGGAGCTCGCGCGCAGCCTCCGCCCCGAACGCAAACAGCTGTTCCCAGAGACTTCGCCGCTCTCAACTTTGCCAACTAGTCCTCACGCACTTTGACCAGCGGAGCAACTGGGACCTGTGGGTCGGGGGCTTCTGGCGGAGTTAAAAAAAAAAAAAAAAAAAAGAGGTGAAACAGCGGGGTCCGGGACTGCGAGTCGCTAGGCTTCGCTTCAAACTTTGCTGCCCTGGCGGAGCGGCTCCGTTCCTTCTCTCCTCTCCCTTCCCCTCCCCCGCGACGTCTGCGCGCTCGGACGGAGCTGGTTCCCTAACTCGGGAGCGCGTGGGTAGCAGCAGCAGCGGCGGCGGCGGCGGCGGCGGCGGCGGCGGCGGCTCCAGTGGCGCAGAGGCGGCGGTGGGAGCGGCGGCGTCTAGCGACGCGGCGAAGACGACAGAGGCGCTTACGCTTGTCAGGTGGGTCACGGCGGCTATCCTAGCAGCACTTCCCATATGGTCTAGCGGTTAGGATTCCTGGTTTTCACCCAGGCGGCCCGGGTTCGACTCCCGGTATGGGAACGCTGCGTTGTTGTTTTGTGTTATTATTTTTAAACTATTGGTTTGGAGGGCTGATTTTTAAAATCTCTGTTCTGGCTCCTTTCTTGTCCCCTTGTCTGGGTGAGTTTGTAGAAAACGAGCATTACTGTAGTTGTTAGTGGCGCGGCGAGCGGGGCTCCGGCTTTTGAAGCCTCTAATGCGGCGCCGTGAGTGCTGGAGAAGAGTTTGCGCCCCCGGTCCCTCTCCCTCCGGCCTCGGGCTCGCGGGGATGATGGGCCCCGAGGGAGTTTCACTTTCCCCTTGGCTGTTTCCCCGCCCCTCCGGCCCGTAGTTTTCCAGACGCTCGGGAGGTGATGATTAACTCCGGCCTTGGGTTATCTCGTCCCTGCGCCCCCCTCGGGCCCACACCCTCCTCGGCCGCACTGGCGCCTTTTCCGAGGCGGGGCGAGCTGGCCCCCTGCGCTGGGCACTCCAGAGCCAGCGCCCTGGCCGGTAGCTGTAGTGGGCTCTGTCCACCCGGCATTTACGAGGCCCCCCAGAACACAATGTGCCTTCTGCGGCCTCCTGGGGGGCGCGCTTTCCCGGCCGCCCAGCTGCCAGGCGCCCCTTTCCGCCGCGTGTGCGCCCGCGTCTCCACCCACTGCCCCGGAGCAAGCCGGAGGCCGGCCCGCGAGGTCGTCCCAACTTGACATTCCGGGCGCTGGTCGCAGTTACGGAAAGTACCCTCGAAAAAAGGCCTTTGGGAACGAGAATCTTTTTTCTTTCCCTTTAAGAACACACACACCACGAGCTATGAAGAAGAAAAATATCACTATGATGAAATAGCTTTAAATAAGTAAATCGACCTTCGAAAAGGTCTATGTTTTGAGCGCCGTTGATTTAAAAAAAAAAAAAATCTTGATTAAAAAAAAAAAATCCTGGGATGGAGGTGGGGCTTGGGAAAGAAAATTGGCCAGAGACTGGGGAGGGGACTTTAAAACAAAGTTTCACTGTATTTTTAAATATAGAAGCCCTGTGTTTATTACAAAAGGGGCAGCTGTGTCAGCAGCATGTGAGCTGTAAATGAAACAAAAGAGTTATCTTAAATGCAAGCTGAAATTAGAAAATAGGGTCAGCTATAATGTGTAGTCTGTGGGCCTCCGGGAACAAACGAAGAAGGAAAAAGTGACTTGCAGATGGGTTTCTGGTCAGTGCCATTACTGAGAGCAGATGTTTTGGTTGTTAGTATTTGTGTTCCCAGACTATTTTGTAGCTTTAACTGCACAATAAATTTGTTAATGTGATCTGCGTGATTAAGGATTAATTAGGCTTACCTTGTTAAAAAAAGAAAAAGCCTAAGTATTTTAAATCATCTTCATTAATTCAAATATTTATATTTGTGTGTTTGCTACATACCAGGCACTACCAGATGCTTTTGAAGTTACTGATGTTCGGGTTCTTCATGTTAACTAGTGAATAGAATACTGAATGGAATAATATTTTGGTCCCTGATTAGCGGTGTGATGAGACTTTCCACCTTCTCTGTTCTCTGGCTTTAGAGCCACACAGTTTTGATAACACGTATAACTCACAAATTTTAAATAGAGTTGCAAGAATTGTTGAGCGACTCTTGAATAGATAATGAAAGTGGAAGTTTCATTTAAATAAGTAATAGCGTGTCATTATTAAGAAGCAGTTATTAAAGAATTACAGTAGTTGCAAATTTGGAAAGAAGGAAAGATAACTGCCTTAAATGTTCCCAGAGAGGGCTTAACTTTTGACCTTGCCTTTTTTTTTTTTTTTTTTTTTTTTTTTTTTTTTGAGACCGACCCTTGCTCTGTATGTAACTCAGGCTGGAGTGCAGGATCTCCGCTCTGTTCTCTGGCTTTAGAGCCACACAGTTTTGATAACACATATAACTCACAAATGCAACCTCCGCCTTCCGGGTTCAAGCTAGTCTCGCGGCTCCGCCTCCCAAGTAGCTGGGATTGCAGGCATCCGCCACCACACCCAGCTAATTTTTGTATTTTGAGTAGAGACAGTGTTTCACCATGTTGGCCAGGCTGGTCTTGAACCCCTAACCTCAGGTGATCCACCTGACTGGGCCTCCCAAAGTGCTGGGATTACAGGTGTGAGCCACTACGCCTCGCCTTGACTTTGCATTTTGTAATGAGTTTATCACACTGTACCAAACGGTGATAAAATGGATGTTATTTTCAACTGTGCACTCAGTAATTGCATATAGTTGTACTATATACCTGGGGAGTGACAACAAAGGAAGAAGTTAGTTTATCTTTGTATAAGATACAGATTTATCTTTTGTGTAGTTGTGTATCACATAGAATATGTTAAGGGAACATCTGAGTTGTAGAAGTGCTGCTGGAGTAACAGAACTGAGGAATCAGTTCTGCTCAAGGGAGAGGACTGGTGAGACATGGATGGGGGAGAGTTTGCCCTGGACCTTGAAGAACTGGTTGGATTTCTCCTGGCGGGGAATGTGAATCATAAAGCTGAGGTAGGGGGAACAGGTATGAGGCTGGCAAGTAGTCCATTTGGCAGGAACACAGTGCCTGCAGGGAGGGCCATGGGCCATCAAGCTGGGAATGTAGAAAGGAATTTTAACTTGATAAAATTTGACTAGGTAACAGGTTCTTTTATCAAGGAGTGACATTTTACGTCACAAAAATTTTTAAACCATTTCTGTCTGTTGAAAAACCCAAAGATAGCAGTGGCATGTGAAAAATTCTTATTTTAAGAGCATCAAACAAGAAACATTTAGAATGTTTTATGTTTGTAGATTTTTATATTTAGGAGTTGACTATTAATTTGTAATTAATGGAGAAAAGCAATCAGTTAATTAGAATTCACTTTACAGGAATGAAATCTAGGCTTAGAGTATAAGAATGATTTGTCTTGCTTTATTGAAAGTGACTTTGGTATTTGAAGACAGAGCTGCTCATTACTATCAGTAAGGCATATACCTTAAATTGATTAAGGATAGGTGATCAATTTGTGAGGATTCATTCTTATGCCTGTGCCATTGGCAGTCATATTTTAGGTGTTTTCTCTTATGCCACAAATTAGTGACACTGAGTGCTGTGGATTTACTCAAATAACCTCTGTAATATTTGCTACTGTTAGGTTTTATCGGAAGATATGTGAAAGAGGCAGGCTGTGGTGGCTCATGTCTGTAATCCCAGCACTTTGGGAGGCTAAGGCAGGGGTGCAACATGGCGAAATCCCATCTCTACCAAAAATCCATAAAATTAGCCAGCTGTGGTGGCACGTGCTGCACCTGTGTCAGCTATTCAGGAGGCTGAGGTGGGAGGATTGCTTGAGCTGGGGAGGCAGAGATTGCAGTAAACCAGAATCTCAGAATTGTGTCGCTGCTCTCCAGCCTTGGACATAGAGTGAGACAGCACCTTGAGGAAACAAACAAACAAACAAACAAACAAACAAAAAAAAAAAATGAAAGAGCCTGGACAACATAACAAGAGCCTGTCTCTAAAAATAAAATTAAGAAGTTAGCCAGATGTGATGCCACATGCCTGTTGTGCTAGCTGCTTGCAAGGCTAAGGTGGGAGGAGCCATTGAGCCTGGGAGTTAAAGGCTGCAGTGAGCTGTGATGGTGCCACCACACTCCAGGCGACAGAGCAAGACCCCAGGACCTTGTCTCTTAAAAAAAAAAAAAATAATAATAAGATATATGAAAGTTCAATAAATATTTGCAGAGATGAACGCTGCTATTTGAAGAAGTAGATTTTAAAACAATTACTGCGTTTCAGGTAAAATCCAAAGACCTTATGGTTTCTGAGGT